TTATGCTGAAACCAAACTAACAGAGACATTCCAAGAAAAGACAACTGTAAAAATCCCTTATGAACATATGTGCAAAAATCACCAACAAAATATTAGCAAATAGAATCCAGCAATGTATGAAAAGACTATGACGTCATGAGCTGGTACAGTTCATTCTGGAATGCAATGCTGGCCCAACACTGGAGAATCAATCTATGCAATTTACCACATTAACAGAATGAAGAAAAGGATCACTGAAGTATTTCAATAGGTTCATAAGTTGCATTTTGGAAAATTCAACAAGCATTCTAAAATGCTCAGCAAAGTAGATATACAAGAAAACTTCCATATCCAAACGTAAGGCTTCTGTGGAAAACCTCACATAATGGTAAAAAAAAAAGAAAAAAAGCTTCCCCTGAAGAGAAAAGAGAAGGATATATGATCTCACTACTCTTCACTATGATGTAATATTATACTGAAGTTCAATAAGGTCCCTCTATGATAGAGGTCTTGCCTGACAGCTCAGTTGGTAAAGAATCCGCCTGCAATGCAGGAGACCCCAGTTCAATTCCTGAGTCAGGAAGATCCGCTGGAGAGGGGCTAGGCTACCCACTTCAGTGTTCTTGGACTTCCCTTGTGGCTCAGCTGGTAAAGAATCCACCTGCAATGCAGGAGACCTGGGTTCGATCCCTGGGTTGGGAAGATGCCCTGGAGAAGGGAAAGTCTACCCACTCCAGTATTCTTGCCTGGAGAATTCCATGGACTATATAGTCCATGGGGTCACAAAGAGTCAGACATGACTGAGCGACTNTAAAGTCATGGGTCAGGTCAATATATAAATTCAAGTGCATACCAGCAATACAATACACCAGCAATATACAATTGCAATTGAAAATTTAAAAAAAAAAAAAAAACTCATACTGGCATCAAAAACAAAATGAAAAAATGTAGTCAAGAATAAATTGAACCAAATTTGTGTCAGACCTATGTGCTGAAAACCAGAAAACACTGCTGAGAGAAATAAAGGATATAAATAAATAGAACAATACATCATCTTCATGAATTGGAAGACACAGTATTAAGATAAGCATTCTCCCCAAATTGATCTCAGCTTCAAGGCAATCTTGATTAAAATCACATCAGATTCTTTTACAAAAATTAAAAAGCTACTCTAAAATAGGTACGGGGATACACGAAGGACATAAAATCGAGCCAAAACAATTTTGGAAAAGAAAAAATTGGAGGACTTTCACTACCTGAGTTCAAAACTTCTAAAAGCACAGAATAATGAAACAGAATAGATTCCAGAAATAAATCTAAACTCATGTGGTTGGTTAATTCTTGACAAAGGCATTGATACATTTCAATAGAGAAAGTATAGATTTTTCAACAAGTGGTGCTAAACAACTGGACTTTGGTATGGAAAAAAGGAACCTCAAGCCCTGTCTCATTCACAAAAATCTATTTGAAATGTATTAAAGACTCAACATGAAAGCTAAAAGCATAAAACTTCTAGAAATGTGAACAGGAGAAAAATCTTTACAATCTTGACATAGGTAAAGATTTCTTATGACATACAAAAAATTAAATATAAAAGGAAAAACCTACACTTGATTAAAAAGAAAACTTCTGCTCTTTCAAAGATGCCACTGAGAGAATGAAAAGGTAATCCACACCCTGGGAGAAAATATAGGTAGATACCTACCAACTGACATGCATACATAGATAAAGATACTCTTTTGTGAAGATATGCCTTCCTTTTTTAACATTTCCTCATCATTAGTCAGTAACAAGATCTTCTAAAATTATTCCCCATTTTTAAAACATAATCAAAAGACCCAGATAAAGATTCTCTGGCCACAGTCCAGATAAAAGCAGAGATGAAAAAAGGAACAGAAAGGTCTGTATGAACTAGGATGCCTTCAGGGTCGTGGTACAACCAGAGAAGGCCAGTTGGCTGACCTCTGAGAGGACTTCCAGAGAGGTCACTTAAATGAGGAGGCTGAAGATTCACCCTTGACACTGAAGTTTCAAGAGCAAAGTATTTAAAATCTTATTTTTTTAAATCTAGCTTTTTTTTCAACTTTATTTGGGTACAATTTACATACAATAAAATCCACCCATTTGGAGAATACAGCCTTATGAATTTTGGCAAATGGTAAAAGTGACATCCAACCCAGTGTTTCTCATGATGTACTCTGCATATAAGTTAAATAAGCAGGGTAACAATATACAGCCTTGATGGGCTGGATGAAGCACAGGCTGGACTTAAATTTGCTAGGAGAAATATCAATAACCTCAGATATGCAGATGACACCACCCTTATGGCAGAAAGTGAAGAAGAACTAAAGAGTCTCCTGATGAAAGTGAAAGAGGAGATTGAGAAAGTTGGCTTAACACTCAACATTCAGAAAACTAAGATCATGGCATCCAGTCCCATCACTTCATGGCAAATAGATGGGGAAACAGTGGAAACAGTGACAGACTTTATTTTGGGGGGCTCCAAAATCACTGCAGATGGTGATTGCAGCCATGAAATTAAAAGACGCTTGCTCCTTGGAAAGAAAGTTATGACCAACCTACACAGCATATTAAAAAGCAGAGACATTCCTTTGCCAACAAAGGTCTGTCTAGTCAAGGCTACAGTTTTTCCAGTGGTCATGTATGGATATGAGAGTCGGACTATAAAGAAAGCTGAGTTCCGAAGAATTGATGCTTTTGAACTGTGGTGTTGGAGAAGACTCTTGAGAGTCCCTTGGACTGCAAGGAGATCCAACCATCCATCCTAAAGGAAATCAGTCCTGGGTGTTCATTGGAAGGACTGATGCTGAAGCTGAAACTCCAATACTTTGGCCACCTGATATGAAGAGCTGACTCTTTTGAAAAGACCCTGATGCTGGGAAAGATTGAGGGCGAGAAGAGAAGGGGATAACAGAGGATGAAGATGAGATGAGATGAGATGGTTGGATGACATCACTGACTCGATTGACATGGGTTTCGGTAAACTCCAGGAGCTGATGATGGACAGGGAGACCTGTCATGCTGCGGTTCATGGGGTCACAAAGAGTCAGACACGACCTAGTGACTGAACTGAACTGAAAAGTAACATCACAATCAAGATATAGAATCTTTTCATAATCGTCCCACCTCCAGTCCCAGGAACCACCAATCTACTTTTAACTGTGATGTTTTAGATTTTTTTAAGAATTTCATATAAAAGGAATAATACAGTATTCATTACCTTGTGTCTTGTTTTTTTGTTTAGCATAATGCTTTCGAAATTTTTCATTTCTGTGTTTGTGAGATATGCCACAATTTGTTTGATGGGCATTTGGGGAATTTCAAGTTTGGGGCTTTTATGAATAAAACATAAGCTTTTGTTTCACTTGGGTGAAAACCTAGGAATGGAATTTCCGGTTTGTATGGTAAGTAGATGTTTTATTTTGTGAGAAACGGCCAAACCGTTTCCCAAAGTGGTTATCACATTTTACAATCCCACCAGCAAAGAGGGAGAGACCCAGTAGTTCCACATTCTTGGTATTGTCCACAGTTTTAATTTCGGCCATTCTAGTGGGAGAAATGGTTTATCATTAAGACTTTAATTTGCATTTCCCAAATGGCTAATGATAATTGAGCATCTTTCCATGTGATTACTGGCCATTCAGATAGCTTTAGTAGAGTTTCCATTCAAAACTTTTGTCCATTTTTAAATTGTATTGTGTTCTTATTATCAAGTGGTAAGATTTCTTTGTGTGTTCTAGATGTTTGTTCTCTGTATCTACGCATGCTGAGCACGTTTCCCAGGGGCCAGAGGATGTCTCTTCTTTGTGTCTGCCATATTCCTGCCCCTCTCATCTATGCTGTGCATTTGTACTAAGTCACTTCAGTTGTGTCTGATTCCACGAGACCCTTTGGACTGTAACCTGCCAGGCTCCTCTGTCCATGGGATTCTCCAGGCAAGAATACTGGAGTGGGTTGTTATGTCCTCCTCCAGGGGATCCTTCCATCCCAGGGATCGAACCTTTGTCTTATAGGTCTCCTGCATTAGCAGGCAGATTCTTTACCACTAATGCCACCTGGGAAGCCCCTCTTATCTAGCTTAGAGGGGCAGAGATAGAGATAAACCCACAACCTGAGCACCAACTAGGGATTAGCTCCACTCAGAGAACCAAAATAAGTCTAGACACATGCCCTCAAGGGGCAAAGAACTCAGGTCTTAAAATATAGCAAGGCATTCTCTGATAGGCAGGTAAAATCACAGTGGGACAGAGCATCATATAGCATAATGAGACAGTAATCAGCTTTGTTCAAACAAAATTCTATGTAGTGTTTATCTGATTTGGTCTAACCTTTGTAACAGAATCCAGACATTATGTGTAATAGTAATTGAAAAGATTCTGAAAATCAGGCTCCTAAAACTTTTGTTACATTTTTTGAGTACTCAGTATTTGAAAAATACAAGCTCATCTAATACAATGACTGTATGAGATATGTGTGATCTTAGGAAGGGCAGCACCAACATGATCTGGGAAAGGGTTAAAAACTGCGAATTCTCATGCCCCACCTCAGATGGACAGAATCAGAAACTCAGATTGACCAGGGGATAGCCAAGTGATTTTGATGATTAAAATTTGAGAACCACTGATCAAAAGTATGGTCTTCTTGCTTAAGAGATATAGTTTCTCTTAGCATCTATTACCCACTTAATCAAGCTTCAGTCTTTTAAGCACTGAGCCTTTAACTTTGGATTTCTGGTGAAGATTTTCTTTTTATAAACTCTACCAAAGCTGGTTATTGGCAGTGACTTTGCCCCAGCTGGTAAAATTGCGCTCACTGTGGCTATACTGATGCTCTCTTTGGCACCTGCATTCTTATCAGCATATCAGATCTTCTGTTTTGCTTTTTTTGTTTTTTGTTTTCACTATGGCCAAAGAAGGGTTTCAAAGTTCCTCTGGCAGGAAAATATTTTACCTGCTTTGAGGCACAACAGGAAGTAAGTCTATCTTTATGCAGCAACAAGAATGCCGTGTTACTTTCCGTGTAACCTCATTAAACGTCTTCCTGGTGAAACGCTTCAAGTAGGCCAGTCATTTGGGGCCCCAGCAGCTTCTCGGAAGAGGCCAAGTTGGCAAGAGTCAGGTGGAGAAGGAGGAGCAAACACGAACAATGAACTCAGGGTTGTGTTTTTAATAGTAAAGTATTATGGGTCTCCCACTTCTGAGCAACAAGTAGGGGATGATCCTGGAGTTAGAACAACATAAAACAAGAACAGGCATCACCTTGCACACACATGAACCTTGGCAATACAATGTGGTAGGGGATCCATGCTTCCCTGGGGAGCTCAGATGTAAAGAATCTGCCTGCAATGCACGAGACCTGGGTTCGATCCCTAGTAAAGAACCCTCCTGCCAATGCAGGAGATGTAAGTGATGAGGATTCAATCCCTGGGATCAAGAAGATCCCCTGGAGAAGGAAATGGCAACCCACTCCAGTATTCTTGCCTGGAGAATCCCATGGATAGAGGAGCCTGGTGAGCTACAGTTCATAGGGTCACACAGAGTCAGACACGACTGAAGTGACTTAGCACGCACAGGATCCATAAGAAGCACAAAAACGAGGGTCAGGTGGTGGGGGACCAGGGGATCCAAGCACCAGCCTAGAGACTGCAGGGCTCAGCATAAATAACCATTCTTCATTGAGAAATGAATAACTTCAAGCAGAAAGTAATCAAGTTGCAGAAGTGAATTAAGAGGAGAGAGGGTGTGATTAAAGTTATCCTCTCGAGGAATGGGAAGGAAGATATGTACCTTCTAGTGCAACTGCCTGAACCTACAGAAGGAAATCAGGTTCTGGTTGGAACCAAGTAATTTTCAAACCAAGTTCCACTGCTCATTAGGGCAGAGCTATGGACTCAGACCATGGTCTCTCAGGTTCGATTTGATTTGGGTGGTTAAAGTCCCTATTTTTTTCTGAAAAGTGCTAATGACTGAACTTCAGACAGGAGAGATCATTATGGACTAGAAGTTCTAAGGTCAATTCAATTATTCATAGAAAAATGAAGCTTAATTTAGGCTCTAAACTATGAGTATCAGAGCAGGTGTGAGAACCTGGCTACACAGGATGCCCTGCAAACTTCAGAGAGTCTGAAAACTGTATCTCCAGCCCAAGGAACAAGGTTTCTACTAAGAGAGTTTTTAAAAGCAAGCTCACAAGAAAGGCAAGTGTCATTTTGGTGCTCCTAGAGGATATGTCAGTTTGGAGTTGCGTCAAATAGTTGTTTAAAAACTTATAATTAGGGTTTCTGCCCCGATTTGTATGCTAAAAAGGTACAGTCATTTTTTAAAAAAATATTATTGGCAATTGCCACCCCCAACTCAAAAATAAAAAAATGAAAAGAATAGTTAAGTTTAACATATTTCAATTACGTCCAAATAAAGGGAAATAAGAATAAAAAGCAATCCCTCTTTGTTTCAGCCTGTGAAAATCCATCTCATTATATTCTTGGGTCCTCATTTAAAGAATAACAGACGCAGTGGGAGTCCAATGAGCGTTAATGCCACTATTGTTAACATCATGAATGGTGTGGGGCCTTTTCCTACCCAGGCTCCACCTTCAGGAACAAAGGAAAGGAACACGGAGGTTCTGCTATTATCCAAATTGGCCTCTGGCACCCACTCTGGGAAGCGGCTGGGGCAGCTGCTCTTTTTCAGGTAACCTCGGGGAACACACACGTGCCATTAACCTAACTGGCCACTGGGTGTGACCTCGCTCCACACAAAAAGAAGCAGAGCCCTTCCTTCCCTGGCGAGCAAGCAGAGGCTCTCACCAGCAGAGTTCAGACACGCGTGTACACGCACACACTTGCACGTGTATACACTCCGTGAAGCCTTCCCGCTCAGAAGGGAAAGTTTAAACAGTCAGCTCATACTTGGGTTTAACTTTCAAATAGGCGCTTCAGGTCAATTTTATTAATTTTCCTTTAACTCCAGAAAGAATCTCTCATCTATCAGGTCTTGATTAAAGGATGAGAAACATACCAGGCCCGCATTCCCAACAACACAAATCAAAAGAAATCACTGTCGACATGAACTTGTTAAAAAGAAAAAGGAAAAAAAAAATGAGTGAATCTTCAGAAACTCACACTAGCTGGGTCTAAACACCCCTTGCAGCAAAATCTCTTTGTTGTGCTGCGGGCCTGTTGTGTCCGGCTCTCTGCGACCCCGTGGACTGTAGCCCACCAGACTCCTCTGTCCGTGGGGTTCTCCAGACAAGAATACAGGAGTGGGTTGCTATTTCCTAATCCAGGAAAACTTTCTGACCCAGAGATGGAACCCACATCTCCTGCATGGCAGGTGGGTTCTTAGCAGCACCACCATCTGTGCACCCCCAAATCCCAGCCTCGGATCCCCATGGCTCATGGTTTCGGCGGTTGGATTGCAGACACTACTCTTCCTAGGTATCTTTTGACTAGCAGAGCCAAATATCTTTGGTGTGGTGAATCAGACCCACATCCACTGCAATGATAAAGAAAACTTTTTCAGCAGTGATTATACACTTAGTTCGAAGTGACGCAGATGACAGCAATGCTCAATAGCATCTCCTGATGCTACGGGAAGAGTAGGCTTTTCCTTCCCCTTTCACAGTACACTGTTTACATACTGAAGGGATAAAATCCAGTATTGCAAAGAAAGAAACATGAAAAGTTAACTACTCACATTGTTTTTAACTCAACTTTCTAACTACCTTAAAATAGAAGCACACACACACACACACACCATAGAGGATGGAGCCCATTTTCTTTAATAGCAACCTATAGTTTTAATTGTATCATTCTCCTTGAGACTACATAAAAGGATATTTATTTGATTGATATCATTTTTCCCAAAAGGTTCGTGGTGCTTTTACAAGGCTATATTAAAGAGTGAAAACAAATATATTATGTCTCCATGAAGAAGCAGGGTCCACATTGCCCTTAATAGCACATCCTATTTTTCTAGCATCTTATTTCAAAGAAATTCCTAATGTGTGTGTGCAAGTTCAGAAAATATTTGTTGATTGCTAATGCTGTAACTGAAAATCAGCTGGAAAATGTTTTTCCAAGCTTGCCAATTCACCGAGATCAGCTAAGAGCCTGGAGTTCCTCCATGTTCCTTAGCTGAGGATATTTTTTTATAGAAATGTTTTTGTGGAGAGTCTAAAAACTGAACAAGAAAGCACAGTCTCAGAGCTCAGACTGAAAATCTTCAATGGGTCCTGGAGTCATTACATTTTTATACCAAACACAGCAACTGACATTTTAGTTTTAAATAAAGTGTTACATTCTGTATACTCTTAGTGTTTAAGAAGAAACTTGGGCACAGTTAATGAAAACAAAATCAATCTCGTGGTCCCTAAGATTTTCATCCATGTCCTTTCTTACCTTAATTTTTTTTTTTTTTTTTTTCAGAAAAAAAATGTGAAGTCATACTTGTGGCCAAGGGTGTACTGACAGGTATTTTAACATCCTGCAATAGTAAAAGCAGTAGCTCCTTTTCTGTAAGGAGGAAATTTTAAATGGTGTGTTGTCTTTGTTAAGATGAAGCTCAGAGACCAGATTCACTTTGTACCATTTTTCTGACACCACTCTGGATTCAAATCAATTCTGACGGTAATGAACTAAGAAGTAATAGCGCAGTTGCTTTAAAGTTATTTTCCATGTCAAACTGCAATGCAGGTTTATAAGTGCCATAGATAAAAATCGACTCAGAGACTACTGGTTGTTAATTTTTATCAATTAATAATCAATGGGAACCATTAGAATTAGTACCTTGGAATTAGGACAGTCTCTCATCAATGGGTTCAGTTTCAAATGTAAGGAAGACTAAATTCTACAAGAGAACAGAAATTGCTTTGTTTGACCCCTGCCTGCTTTTTTCCAGCCTAACCTCTCAACAATCCTGCCATGAACCCTAACCCAGCATTCCCTGAACTTACCCACTCTCAAACATCCATATATTTTGCACATGTCGTGGCCTAAAGAGTTTCACCCCAGGCCTCACTCTGCCTTCCCATCTTAACAAACTCTCTCACACCCTTTTAAACAAAGCAAAACTGTTGCCCCTTCTAGGAAATCTTCTCTAAAGGTCTTTTCCAGTGAGCTGGCTCTTTGCATCAGGTGGCCAAAGTATTGAGCTTCGGCTTCAGCATCAGTTCTTCCAATGAATATTCAGGACTGATTCCCTTTAGGATTGACTGGTTTGATCTCCTTGTGGTCCAAAGGACTCTCAAGAGTCTCCTCCAGCATCACAGTTCAAAAGCATCAATTCTTCGGCACTCAGCCTTTTCATAGTTCAACTCTCACATCCACACATGATTACTGGAAAAACCATAACTTTGACTATATAGACCTTTGTTGGCAAAGTAATGTCAGCTTACCTGTAAATGAGGATAAAATGCAGACAGAATACATTGCCATCTCCCATGTGGTGGAAAGGTTCCCCTGCACATTTCAGTGAGGAAGCTTCTGAAGAGCATGTCCTCTTACAAAGGACCCATCCCTCCATCAGAAATGGTCCTCTCTGGACCAACCCTGCTCCAGTTCACACCATGAATTTCAGTACAACCCTTGAACAGAAATATAAGTGTCACCTGATCTGATTTCAGCTAAACCATTTCCAAACTCTAGTTTCCCTATAATTTGACTTGAAAATTTTACTCTGGTCTCTTTTCCTTTTGCTTTTTTCCTATGACCTTTCATTCCTGAGCATTTTATATGACTTCTCAGCCAAAAGCTTCTGGGTGGGGCTTCATAGTTGAAGTAAAGTGGAGATTCCCCTTTTTAAAAGAGCTTACTTTTAAAATACGCTGTTATTAATCTTCTAGTGTTAAAAAAATTCATGATTCATATTTCCATCGCTTCACATTTAGAAAGATCTATTCCTTGTTGGTCAGTCCCATCACATAAACGCATTCTGATCTGTTGCTTCTGTAACCATGGTGATGACCACGGCTCTGACAGTCCCCTCTGAGAGAGTGGGTCCCAGATCAATAGTGACAGCCTTGGATTCTTCAAATACTAATCTCATGTGCCCAACAGCCTACTAACTATTTATTGGGGTGTCTTAGCATAATTTTAAATAGGATTCTCCCACAAACCAAAAGCATCTACCCCTAAAACAGCTCACCAGCTTTTAGCTGTTAATCATATATCAGCTTCTTTAGACATGAAGGTAGAACATTTCTAGTTTCCTTTGCTTGCTTTCTCCACCAAAATCAGACTTGTCCTCAGGTCCTGACAACTGTGTTTTCAGCTCCATGGCAACTCACGTAGTTATCACATTTATTGTTGTTTATTCGCCATGTCCAACTCTTTTGAGACCCCATGGACTGTAGCCCGCCAGGCTCCTCTTGTCCATGTGATTTCCCAGGCAAGAATACTAGAGGGGGTTGTCATGTCCTTCTACAGGGGATTTTCCCAACCCAGGGATCAAATCCAGGAACCTGCGTCTCCTGGTTGTTGGTAGATTCTTTACCACTGAGCCACCTGGGAAGCCCTAGTCATTACATTGCATGCACCAAATGTAGTCCTTTCCGTTCCTTCTGAATTTTATGTAACACCCACAAGATGTCAAAGCACTTGTCCCCATGCTGGTTTCCCACCAAAGGACTGTACAGAGGTCATTTAAATATCCCACACTTGATTCCTTCCTCTAGTTTTTAACACAGTCAGATGTATGTAATTCATCAAAATTTGTAAATATCAGATAAAGATTAAATCACAGGCTTCTTCATATCACTGTTTTCTAGGTTCACACTAAGCAGTACTTCCTGCTTGGACTATTGCATTCTCCTGTCTAACTCTTTTTCCCTGCCTGTGAATCTGTTATTTTATCTAATACATTACACACTACATTAATTTTCCTGTTATTTCATCTTGTCCAAAAACTCTTAATGGTTCCTCCTTGTTTAATGAAGTGAGAAAATCTCCTTTGCCTAGCATTTGGGTCTCTTTAAAATTTTAGGCCCAACCTATCTTTCCATCTTTATTACCCACTACTGTCCTAATTGTTCCTTTCCTTGGTATTTCCTGGCCATGGCTCTATCAGTATGAGGATACTCATTTCCCATTTTCTTCTACCCTCCTGGTCCCCAGAGAATTTCCCCCAATTTGTTTTTAGTGCTGTGTGACCAGTGTGAAAGTTAAGTGAACCCTCTAGGCCTGGCATACTTCACTGAAGGTCTCTGTGAGGTCCTTCTTCTGTTTATATTTGTTTGTATTACTTACCTCTCATCCTCACGTCTTTTTCATCTCCAATCACACAATACATATCCTTCTATGATATCTATGTATGTATGTATTTATTTACACTATCTAGATTTATTTATTTATAACACTATCTAAATCTATATACATTTCTTTTAAAACATGGAATATTGTTTTTGTGAACTTGAAACTTACATTAATGATATTATGTTATAGTAGTTTTCTGATCTCTTCAATTTGCCTCCTTTTGAGTGTAATGCCTTGTAAATCTAGGTCATTATCTCCATCTGCTGCATTTTTACTTTTACTCATCCCTACCCTCTAATGTAAGTATCTAAGTTGTCTCCAGTTGCTAGCCAGTAAAATCAGTGCTCTGGGAAGCATCTTCATGCCAACTTAATTCTACCATACATGTCAAATTCAAACCTAAATACCACCCCTACAAGTAAACTGCCATTAGAAATACAC